ATGTGCAGCTTCAGTAGCAGATTCAATTCAGATGAGATTCAGCCTGATTCAGGGACCAAATCTCCAAATCCAAATTAAATCAGGAGGCCAAATAAAAGCCCTGAATTGATTCGAAGAATCTGAATCAATTTGCAAAAGTTTTGGAAAAGATTTGGCCAATTTGGAGATTCGGTCATAGACTAAACAGGCAGCTGAATTTCTCTGAATCAGCACTGAATCTTCCAAAGCTGATTCAGCCAGATCAATTCAGGATGGTGATCCAAATCTCTGAATCAAATCACTGTCCTCTGAATCAGCCAAATCCAAATCTGGATCAAATACTTCCCTATTTACACAGGCCCAATGGTTAGGGACCTACCGAATTCAAGACAGCTGTCCACTGATTTCATGGTCAGAATGTGCGGTCTGGCAGCCATTTTATGGAGAAGTGTGATGGGGTCCCCCATCCCTCTGATTGGCCAAAGGGCTCTGGTGACCCTGCTTTTTACTGCTGATTGGCTGTGAAGGCTGTTATGTGGCCCCGAGCCAAATGACAGGCAGCCCTCACAACCAATCAGTGGTGAGGGCTGGGGATGGCAGCCATCTTGCTGGCAGCCCCTCAAGTGGGAAGTCCCCTCTTGTCCCTCCCCCCTCTCCCCTGCCCCCTCTCCCCACCACCAGCAGGCTGCTGCAGATCCCCAAAGACTGCTAGCTCCCTCTGGGGACCCAGTGTTTTATTTTCAGTAAGTTTTCTTTTTTTTCCTGTGGATTTCATGGCCATTACCTGCTTTTGTGGGCAACACCGGATTTTGCTAAATCTATGAAACTGCGATTTCAGTCGGTCCCTAATGATGGCTCATGCTCTGTAAAGATTTTCAGGTCCCTTTCCCTGACCTCAGTCTCTGTTTCCTCATAGCGTTTTAGAAACTTTTTCCATCGTGTTAACAGAATAACAAGTCTACTGGGAACAACAACATTGAGGACCTCAAGGTTGCTCTGAATGGTGATACAAAGATGTACAGCAGCTAGTAAAGGCACTATGCTTGAATTCTCAACATTGCTAATGCCTGGACTTGCAACATAATTTTATCATTGCCAATATTAGCAATGGTCAGAATTTTTAAAGAAATTGGACCTACTGGAACAGGATAACACATGCTTCCACATTTAGAAGATGCAAACACTATACATTTAGATATTTGCAGAGAGGGGGGTATTCTTTGGTTCCCTTTTGATTGAAATTTATCATGCAGAATTTTGGCTTAGGCACCCTGAAAATTCCATTTTGAGCTCATCTATAGTAATGTAAATCCATAAGCTATGCACCCTGTCTCCTAAATTATGCTAGGGAACGGGGAGAATATTATGAATATAAAATGCCAGTATTCTGAAAGGAAAGCATTTTACCCTTTTTCTTTGTTGGCTTAAGTAATTGTATTTGGTGGAATGAAATAGTGTTTCAGGGTACGGACAATTATACCCAAAGAAAAAGGGGGATGTATTTCTTGATAATTTGCTATAACTTTTTTGTGTGCCTATTCTGTTCTACAAAAAAGGAAAATTTAGTAGCTGTTTCATACTGGTATAAAATGCCTTGAGTTAGCTTTATTTGCTGTAGGGTAGGAGAGGACACAAACAACAGTTACGGAAGTTAATGCATGCTTATAAGTGGTAAGTCCCCCAACCCCCGTAAAGTGGTATCATTATTTTACTGGTTCACAGGCTAAAGCCAGTTGACTTCACAGGAGTCTTGCCTGATTTACTGTTATTTTGATTATTTTTAAGATATCGTGAAATATGAATTTTAATAAATCAACCAAACAATCAAAAATATTATAAATGCCACAATAAACTTAAATACCAGAGGTGGAAATTGTTTGACCATGTTTATTATTAGGGAAATATAAGGTTTGATACAAAGCCTACTAAAGTCAATGCAAAGGCTTCCATCAGGTTCAGTGGGGTGTAGACCAGGTCCATAAACAGAGGTGGGCAGCTGCTTATATCTTACTGATGTCACTGACAAAGAGCTGAGTAATAATTATCCCATTTTAGACCATTCTACAATGTTGCAAGTGCTCGCCTAAGCAGAAATGAGAAGCAAATCCATTGTTTTTTACAGGATGCAGAGTTTTGATAAGCCTTGGATGGAGGAAGAGGGGGAAGCAATGGAACATCCTTATTACAACAGCATTCCTAATAAAATGCCCCCTACTGGGGGTTTTATTGATGCCAGACTCAAATCCAGGCTTCCTAACGTGGCAGACACTGCTCAGGTCAGTGACTCATTAGCTGTTCAGTTTCATAGCCAGGGTAAGCAATCAAATTTGAAAGCAGTGTATATTTTCAGGTTTATACTCTGAAGATGTGATGTATCTTGCACTTTTCATGTACAGCTGGCTTCTTTTGCTGCAGCTTATCTGTTGTGGCATCACATTCATTCCTTGACTTGAATAAGAGATGAAACATGGTTTGTTGTTTACAAGTTAAATTTTGGCTTATCCTGCTGGACACGTGGTGAAGCAGAGGTTGCAGATGACCTCCTCTCAAAATCTAGCAGACAGTCAAAACCATAGCTTTCTAGACCCTCACATGCTAGTGGGATATGTGTCTGGCTACCATTTGTTGACTATCCTATTACTGGGTGGCTCACTAGGCAGGAATGATATAGTCCCTAGTCCTTGTTAATACACAGACGCAAAATCTAACCCTTAATAGGAGTGATGCTAAATGCATTGGTCCCAGTCTTTCCTGAGTCAGTCTGCCAGCAGATATACACTTCTTTTGGCTCCCCTCAACATCTTCTTGCCCACAAAAATGAGAATGTAGCCCTGTGCAGTTAACGTGAGCTATAACAACAAAGTGCCCTTTTAACAGGCTCTTTGAGCCTTATTACCAGTAGGCCTATGCAAAGTGGCTAGTATTTGCTTCGGATTCGGTTGATTCGTGGGACAGTGCTTTGATTCGGTGATTCAAATCACTGTCCCAAATTGATACAGCCAAATCTGATTCAGAGATTTGGCTGCCGCTGAATCTCTGAATCAAACAGGCCCCATCCCCTACCCGCTCTCCCAGCTCTGTCGATGGCTGCCCCACCCAGCCCCAGCCTCCCGGCTCTTTAAAAAAAAACACCCTGCACTCACAGGCTACTACCAGGTGGAGTGGGGGACGCAATCCCTTCTGCCCCCCATTGCCCCGTGCTGTGTGGGGGAGATCTGTCATGAGCCCCCATCCCCTGCCCGCTCTCCCAGCCCCAGCTCCCGGCTCTTAAAAAAAATAAAATAAAAAAGCCCCGCACTCACCAGCTGCTGCTGGGTGGGGGACAGTGATCTCCGTTGCCTCCCACTGCCCTGTGCTGCATGGAGGGCTCTGCTATGAGCTTCCAGAAGCACTGGTGGCTACACCGTTTTTTTTTTTAAAGAACTGGGAGCTGGAACCAGGCAGGGCAGCTATTGACGGGACTGGAAGAGCAGGCAGGGATGGGGGCTCATAGCAGAACCCCCTGCCCAGCATGGGGCAGTGTGGGGCAGTGGGGATCGCCCCACGCCTGGCAGCAGCTGGTGAGTGGGAGCTTTTTTTTTTCTTCTTAAGGAACTGGGAGCTGGGGCTGGGCGGAGCAGCCATGTGGAGGGGAGGGGGAGCTGGGAAAGTGGGCGGGAGTCCGGGGACACTCAGGGGGGCTGGGAGAGCAGGCAGGGGATGGGGTCTGGTGGGGGTCCCTCCATGGTTCCTCGCCCCTCTGCCAGCCCCCTCCCCCACTTCTGGCACAGAGTTCAGGTCCAATTCGGAGAGCTTCAAATCAACTCTAGCCTTTTTATTGGTCTCCTGATTTGATTTGATTCGGATTTGGACATTTGGCCATCAAATCGGGCCGAATCTCCTCTGAATCGAATCAGCACCTAAAGCTTCTGTCTGTTATTGTCTGTATACATAGTTAAGAGGGCAAGAATATCATTTGCTTCCTGATTCAATTGTGCTGTTCTTGGACCAACATCCATGGGTAATGCTTATAGACTATGGCTCTTTAAGTTGATCTGTAAGGACAGTTTCCTTCAACTTAATGAAACCCCATTGATTTTAGTGGGCCTCAGCAGGTTTCATAGTTTCATAGTTGGTAGGGTTGGAAGGGACCTGAGCAGATCAAGTCTGACCCCCTGCTATGGCAGGAAAGAGTACTGGGGTCAAACAACCCCGGCAAGGTGTTCATCCAGCCTCCTCTTACAGACCTCCAGGGTAGAAGCCAGCACCACTTCTCTTGGAAGTTGGTTCCAGATCCTAGCCGCCCTGACCGTGAAGTAGCACCTCCTGATAGCTAACCTAAACCTACCCTCTGCCAGCTTGTGACTGTTATTCCTGGTCGCTCCTGGTAGTGTTCGGGGGAACAGGGACTCTCCCAATGCCTGCTGGTCCCCTCTGACTAGTTTGTAACAGGCCACTAGATCCCCCTCAGCCTCCGCTTGTGGTGGCTGAACAGGTTCAAGTCCCATAGCCTCTCCTCATAGGTTGAGGCCTGCCCTGCTGCCCCCTGATCATGCGGGTGGCCCTCCTCTGGACCCTCTCCATGTTGTCCACATCCCTCCTGAAGTGCGGTGCCTAGAACTGGACGCAGTACTCCAACTGCAGCCTGACCAGTGTTGCATAGAGGGGGAAGATCACCTCCTTGGACCTGCTTGAGATGCATCTGTGGATGCATGACAAGGTATGGTTGGCCTTCCTGACTGCATCCCCACACTGTCGGCCCATGTTCATTTTGGCATCAATAATGACTCCAAGATTCTTTTCTGCCTCTGCACTGGTGAAAAGGGAGTTCCCCAGCCTGGTAAAAGCAGATTGCCTTAATCAGGTGGTGTCAAAATGAAAAAGTCAAAATACTCGCCTCCGTATGTCAACAGTACAGTCAAAGCTCTAGCTGCAGTCAGGTATACCTACCTGAGCTAGCTCTAATTAGCCAGCTCAGGTGTTGCAACCAGTGTAGCCATGGCGAACCAGAGATCAGCGTGGACTAGCCTGCAAGTATTTACCCAAGTTCTTGGGCGGTTTCTGCAACCCAATGACTGCTGCTGTTATACTGCTCTAGCTAGCCTGGATATATCTAAATACGTTTCATAGAACCATAGAAAGTTAGGGTTGGAAGGGGCTGCAGGAGGTCATCTAGTCCAAACCCTTCTCAAAGCAGAACCAGCCCCAACTAGATCATCTCAGCCAAAGCTTTGTCCAGACAGGTTTTGAAACCCCCCCAAGGATGGAGCTTCTGCCACATCTGATTCAGTGTTTTACTACTAGTGAGAAAATCCTTCCTAATATCTAACCCAAACTTCCTTTGCTGCAACTTGAGACCATTTCTCCTTGTTCTCTCATCTGCCACCACTGAGAACAGTCTAGCTCCATCTTCTTTCAAACTCCACTTCAGGTAGTTGAAGACTGCTATTAAGTCTCCTCTCAGTCTTCTCTTTAGACTAAATAAGCCCAGTTCCCCCAGTCCTCCCTCCTAAGTCATGTCCCCCAGCCCTCTCATCATTTTTGTCACCTTCTGCTGGACTCTCTCCAATTTGTCCACATCCTTTTTGTAGTGGTGGAGCCCAAAACTGAACACAGTACTCAGATGTGGCCTCACCAGTGCTGAATAGAGGAGGATAATCACTTCAGTCACACCTTTGACTGCAGCATAGACAGACTGTGTGTGAAACAGGCAAGCTGTTTGAGAAAATTATTCTGGCACACGTCCAGGAGGGGCCAGCAGGGGACTGCATGCTTAGGGGCAACCAACACGGGTTCATCAGTGGCAGGTCCTGTCAGACCAACCTGGTGGCCTTTTACGATCAGATCACCAGATCATTAGATGCAGGGGTAGCAGTGGACATAGTCTTCCTGGACTTCCGGAAGGCTTTTGACACTGTCTCTCACCCCGTTCTCATTAAGAAATTGGG